TTTTTTTTTTTACTATGGACCTTTTTTGTGTCTGTAATAAAGATTGATGTGATTGTATTTTTCTGGATTTTTGTTTTAGATTCCATCACTCACAGTTGAAGAGTACCTATGATAAAAATTACAGTCTTCTACAAGCTTTGCAAGTGGGAAAACCTGAAAAATCAACAGTGTATCAAATACTTGTTCTCCCCACTATATATGTGCAGCAATGTCAGAACAACTGAGGATTGTGTGCACTGACCCTGTCTGAACACTTCTTTCACAGGAAAACCATCTAAAACACTGGTTTTCCATTAATATGATTCACATTATCTATACAAACAGTAGATAAAGTCCAAGAACCAGTCTGGTCCAGTTAGAGGACAYGGACCGCCGTGTCCTTCCGTGTCCTCCACAGGCGGCCTGGGTTAGCTGCTGCTAAATGCTACAACTAGCTACGTTTCATGCTAAACGTGAATACTACGACAATAATAATATTAAAACACAAACATGTAATAAATATATCTGTAATAAACAATGACGCAAAGATAGTCCCAACAGAGCGGACACAGCTGAAAAGACAAGCCGACTCTCGGTCGGGTTTACCGTCTACGGTGGCGGCAGCTGCCAGTCTGCGGGTCCTCTGTGATCCCCGGAGATCCTGCTGAGGCTCTTCTGCTTTCTGGAGGGTGAACAGGGGGGCGCTGAACGGGTTGGCCCGGGCCAGGTGCGTGAGGGAGTTCGGGTACATGGCGGCGGTCGGCCTGCCGGCGGAACTGCGCTGCAGCAAAGAGAAAGTGAGCCGGGGGCTCTCGTTAGCTTCGGCTAACACGTCACGTGATATGCTGCGTTTGAGCCACCTCGGAAACCAGAACTCTTCCTTCCGTATGCCGATGTTCAGACTAATTAATGTACGCGTGTATCCAACACATTATGCACGTTTATACAAAMTGCAACTGCAGTTTGACTAAGGATAAGCTTCTGATTTTACAGGAGAGATTCCAACTTTTAGGAGCATTCAGTTTTCTTTACTGGGAAACTAGAAAAAAACGACGTGAACTGGAACGCATCTCAATGACGTCTACGTGCTGCCGGCCGGCCGCGGACAGGACGTACTACTGCTACTATCCTAAAGAGCACACCGTACACATTACCCTGCAGTTAGACAACCTTCCCCATGTTATTACACAAGCCTAAACTGTCACATTTGTATCTTTACTCCACTTAGTGATATTAAAACATTCTGCTAGTTCTAAGCTAACATAACCAGCTAAACGACGTTGATAATCTGTTTTAACAGAGATCATCCACTGTCTGTAGATGTTAAATAGTAAAGAGTTTAATTTCATACAGCCGGCGACGTTCTTTTTATTCTGTGTAAAGTTAAACAGTAAATAAACTCACTCTTTCAGTGTCTTAAAATGGCGCCTCAGGTTCACCCTGGCCGGCTGCTCGGAGAGACTGAATGACCTCGTGTAAAATCTGTTYGTCKTCTTCTTCTTCTTTTGTCGGATWTRTGGTGGTTGCCAACAAACTGTTAGTAGCATTACCGCCACCTACTGGTATGGAGTGTGGTTCGAGATGGTTTAAATATTTATCCTTGTCTAAATTGTATATATCCTGATGCATCTCAGTAATCCAGGTAAAAAAAACCAAAAAGAAAAAAATTRTATAGGTCTTCTGGACGGGTTCTTCTCTAATGAAACGTTTCGTCTCTCCTCCAAGAGACTTCTTCAGTCTGAGAGTTTCAGGCAAAATTCAGGCTTTTAAGCCCTGCCTCCATGTGACTGATACTCACATCACATGGCTATCGTTGACACCTAATTAACACCTATTGTTAACAGGGGGTGGAGTGATACTGGCAATAGCAGCGCTGTAGGAGGGGGACAACTGAAAACGGAGGCCCCCACCTCTGTTTAATGATGGACGGTCTTTCTTCACAAAAATGGCTTCTTTTACTCCTCTCTCAAACCAACGTTCCTCTCTATCAAGAATGAGAACATCCTCATCTCTGAAAGAGTGACCGCTGGCCTGTAAATGAGTGAAAACTGCAGAGTTCTGGCCATTAGATGTAGCTCGTCTGTGTTGGGACATTCTTTTGAACAGTGGCTGCTTTTTTTATACTGTATATACAKATATTCTACCATACATTCTATCTAAACATAAACTCATACATTCACACTTAATACATACATACTTATGCTCAACTTTGTATATCATGGCTTCATTCACAAACACACTTACTATAATTAAATTCTATGAAATAATTTAGTTTTCTTTAGAAATTGAATAATTATTTGCATATGTTTTACTCCCTAATTTCTTCCTCAATGTGTCTAATAAATTAACCTTCTCCTTAATACTTTCAAACTCTCTCTTCATATATCTTCTCTCTAGTTCATATTTATGGCATTCTAATAAAACATGCTCTATGGTTTCATATTTATCACAGTAATCACATTTGCCAGTTTTATGTTTTTCAATTTTAAAAAGTGTATAATTAAGTCCTGTAGGTCCAATTCTTAACCTTGTTATCACTCTTTCCTCCTTTCTATTTCTTCTTCCATTTCTTCTTTCTCCTACATTCTTCTGAATTTTATAAAACCATCTTCCTGTTTTATCTTCATCCCACCTTTTTTTTGCCATACTTTCATCAGTTTCTCTTTAACAATACTCTTTCCTTCAGATTTACTTATTTTAACTGTAAAACTAATAGGATACTGAACTGCCCTCTTTGCCATTTTATCTGCCCTCTCGTTTCCTTCTACTCCAATATGAGCTGGAACCCACACAAATATAACTATCAAACCCATGTTTTGTATTCTGAATAATGTATGAAATATTTCTAATAAAATGTCCATCCTACTATCTGTCTGATTACTTTTTAAACTTTATAATGCAGAGCTTGAATCTGAACATACTATCGTTTTTAATGGTTTCACGTGTTCTACCCATTGCAAAGCTAATATGTAGGCTATTGGTATTATAATTGATTCCAACTCAACGGTAATTTTCCCTCCTCCCAAATTTTATTATATAATTGTAATAATATATATTTAGATTTTTTACTGAGTTGCCTTATCATTCTATACCAGATTTGGTCTTTACCTGGTGCTGTGTTTTTTTTTTTTGTCTTCTTAAGTGCAATATTCAATTCCGTTTTTTTTTAACTCAACATAATCTATTTGTCCTTTCATGACGTCACATAAAATCCTGGGCAGGACCCAAGTATATTCTGCCCAATAGGATCTCCGTGCGGAGCTGTCAATCAACTTATTCTCCGATGAAAGAACAGCGCTGCTGCAAAAGTTTAAAGGGACAGTCCCCCCCTTTTTAATTATTCATATTAGTTAGAATAAAGTCCCTTTAGAAAGCAAACTGCTTGACCGAGCAAGACCAAAACCAAAACTAGCTATTATCTATAGATAGTTTCACAGTCATTCATGCAAACTTTACTCTGTTTGCAAGGTATCATTAATGAAAATAACTATAGTTAGCTTTTAGTCAACATACTTCAAGATTGCCATCACAACTGTCATTAGAAAACAAACATCTTTAATTTAGTCACGTTTACAGATAATGAGCTAAAATCTGGTGTGGTAGTAGCTGAAGGTTATTCACATGTTCAAAAACACAAAAAGGGTGCTGTGCATTTTAAGGCTGGGCTCTTAATTACAAACTGTACCTTTATTCTGAGCTGTGAAAATCCCTGAAATAAAAGTTGGAATATGTCAGTGAGAAACAGACGTAGTTAACCTGTGTGTCTGCAGCTGTTTGAGACTGAGAYGTCTCTGTTGTGAGTGAAAACAGACAGGTTGGTGTTTGGATAAACATGTAAAACTACACCTGACTGATGAAAGATATGTCTACTCTTAAAGGTATACAACATGCCTACATTTCTCTATTTTCCAAGAGTACTGTATGTATTTACCTGGTGCACTACAATTTGACTAGAAAAAACTGCAACACATGATTCAACAAATACAGCCAATGTTAATTTCTGTTGTTTTCAAGCAAATGATGTAATTTTATTGGGGTTGTTATATATTGAGTGGATCAAGTTATTGTGGGGGGTCATAACCCCACTAAGCCACCCACAAATTACACCCATTGCCAGTAATAATAAACCAAAAAAAGCAAATGCCAGCAGAACATGGAACTTCCTAACTGAAAAACAAAAAGAAGGGTTTATTGTATAAAAATATGCAGAACAGCTCAGTGGAATACAATGATATTTATTGATAAAAGACATTATGAAAATATATAAAAGTACTTTAAAAATATCAATGATTTGTTACTCTAATAAATGGTCAGAACTAGAAAACTTAGTCACAAACCACACAGGTACAATAAAACAACTTTTCTGTGAGCCCATCAGGAGAAGAAGAACAAAAASAGCACCAGAGGATTTACTTTGTATAACAGATCTTTGAGAACTGAAGTGATTTTATCACTTCTGCTCACATCTCAGAGGAAACAATATGTACAAAAATAAACCTCAGTGAGATTAGAAACTAAACAGCTACACTGCAGTTTCACACTTAAAAACTGATGAGACAGAAGCCCCCCAAACACCACTCCCATCTTATTTCCCCAAAGCTCCAGAGGAGCCGGGCTCCATGGTCTGGTAAACCAGGAAGAGGAACAAAGCCACGCAGCCCAGCAGAGCCAGCTTCATCCATGGAGAMGAGCTGCTGCGCACCACTTTGCTCTGACCTGTGGGGGGCGCTGCACTACAGAGCTTGGAGGGGGGGCAGGAGCCAGAAAGAGGCAGGATGGAAGAGGAGGAAGAGGAGGAGGAGGAAGAGAAGGAGGAAGGCGTGCTGGACACTCGGTGGACTGTATGGATCTCTGTGTGAGAGGAGCTGCTGGTCTTTGTGGTTTTTGGAGACAGAAGGTGGTTCTCRTYAAACCCAAGGTCATTGGGGGTCACCGGGAGTCTGGATGCTCCTCTGATAGCRCGTCGACTGGTGACACTGCAGAACACACAGAACCTCATTAGAACCAGATTAACCCACATCATGGGTCCTAACCCTGACCTTTGATCCTTGTTCCAGAGTCACAGGGACCACCTTTTCAAGGAGCAAATACTTCACTTTATTCCAGATGTTTTAATTGACTTTACAGTTGAATTATTTTCTTACTTACAGCTAATAAATGAAGACACTAAATCCCGGAGGCTCTGATGGTACAAAAATACCACAGAATTATAAGTAAAATGTTAAAAATCATCTAGTGATTTATCTGCTTGTACTTACAACTGCAATTCAAAAAGTTAGGAAAATGTCAAATAAAAAGTATGTAATGGTATGGCAAACTCACAAAAACAAACACACAAACAAAACCAAAAGATGAAAAAAACATCACTGTAAATGCTGCAGACGCAGCTGCTGACTCATGAGTCTTAACCTAACCTTTACGAACAGTTAACACAAGTTAACACACGTCGCATACTAACTTTTGTAGCTTGTTGCAAACTATCATTTCAAAAATATTAACTTGAACCTATTGCATCACCTAGGTWTTTAAACCACAACAATGGTGTGACGATTAAATTTCGTAGTTTTGACATAGTGACTAGAGCTGCACAATTAGGGTTGGGTACCGAAACTCGGTTCTATTATGGCACCGGGGCGAACATCCACGGTAGTACACGGACCGAAACACATCTTTAACTTCGGTGCCTCAAAGAAAGCTGTTAATTTGCGCCCTCTGGTGTTC